TCGATATGTTTGTTTTTGTCATTTGGTTTGTTCACCAATTTGTTGGTTTATTTCCTTTTTGTTTGTTCTTACTATCGTACGCATGAGTGAAGTCCTTTGGTTTTCACCTTCAGCCTCTGACTTTCTTCTTTAGCATCATAACAATAAGTTCTATCCATGTTCTAGAAAATAACAAGATTTCAGCTTTTTTTATGGCTGAATAGATTTCCACAGAATATACATACTATTGTTTCCTTATCCCTTTTTCCGTTGATTGGGAACTATGTCAAGGAGCATATATCTTTTGTTTTCTTCTAGGAGTTTTACAATTTCAGGTCTTATCTTCAAATCTTTCATAGATTTTGAGTTGAGTTTTAAGTATGGTGTCACATAATGATCTAGATCATTTAACATCAGTAGCAGTTTTGAGAACAGAGGCTGAAAAAATATATCCTTCTGAATGCTCTTATTACGTGAAGATTCAAATTCTAAGGAATTTAGCACCCTAGCATTCTGATTGATGTGGGGCACTGGATGAGCAGTTATGAAAACTTGTTGGGATTGTCTGTAGGCATTGAAAGCCTAAAAAATTATCATTCATCCTCAGTTGAAACATGTATTTCACATTTTATTAACTAGGTAAAAGTGAGACACTGAGGGTGAAGGATTCAGAAAACAGTTCAGACGCTGCGTTGTGCCCCGTCTAAGCTAGCAGAGGAGAAAATAATTGTGTTACGTGAGTTTGTATTTGAGAACTGCCTTCTCTGATGTCAGATGGGAGAGCCCAATTCTCAAGGAGTTATCAAACTTATGTTTGGTTTTCAAATGCCTGGGTGTCAATATTAAATGTGGCCTTTCCATAGCATAAGTATTTCTGTACGTGTGGGGAAATCTTTTCTCACTCTTATCTATTAGACTGTGATACATGTAACCAAAGTCTCTAACTTTAGTCTTTCAAGGATGCAAATCCAAATTCACAGTTCTGCCTAAAACTTCTAACAAGTCAGGGTCCTCATCTGTGGGTAGGTATCTGGAGAGAATGGAGAAATGTCTGGGCAGAGAAGTCAAAGTATCAGGAACCTGGATTTCCTTAGTGGTCGTGAGCTTTCATGACCCCATTTGTGTGGAGGGGGCAGGGGTGACTTGTATGAATGTGACAGTTTTCTCTTTCTTTATACAGAGGAAATTCAAAAAGTAAGATTGGGAAGAAGCACCGAGGAGCGGGGAACATGGCCGGTCGTTGCAGACAGCTGGGTCCCTGCAAACTCTCTCAAGTCCAGCAAGTGAAGAAGCAAAACCTGGGCACAGGGAGGCAGGTGGCTCCCCCGCCAAAGGACGAAGACCCCAGGGTAAGTGGAGGCATGGACTTCGGAAACAGGGTTTGGGCCTGGAATACCTGGGTCCATAACTCCCTTGCCCAGGCCCAACCAAAGACAGCTGCCTTGGGACCTCATCCCCAGGGAGACCGGGCCGTTCAGAGATGGGGGCCACCTGACCCCTCCTTAGTGTGATGTCTGGCCTGCTTTTATCCAAGTCCTTCAATCGGGGTCTTGCTTTGCACACTTAGAGTACCAGCCCTTCCTCCTCTGATGCTCCCTGGCAAAGGCTTTGGGAAGCAGCACAGTATCATAAATATCCTGGCAGCTAAGGGGCCACGTGCTTCTGTCCTTTCTCCAGAACCAGTGTTCATCCCTCTCCATCTGTCCTTGTGTTCGCTTTGCACATATGCACCTGTGGGTTCCGCTGACTCACTGACCTTGTTCCCCTCCACCCACAGGTGAAGTGTAGGGACTGCGGAGCCTTTGGACACAAAGCGAGGAGCCTCAGGTGCCCCATGAAGCGCTGTCATGGGGCCCTGGCCCCCCAGCCCTTGGGCTCCAAACTTGGCAAGGAGAACCTGGAACCACAGAAGCTGCAGGACCTGCAGACCCCCGGGACCCCTAACACGGCTGAGAGAGAGAAGGGTGAAAGGCAAAGGTGAGCAGTGGGGTGGGTGGTACCCAAGCTTCGGGCTGAAATCGCTGGAGACGGTTCGTCTCCTTCTCTACACTGGGTGCCGAGCCATCTCTAGAAATGACAGGGAAATTGGGGGAACAGGAGCCATGTCCCGAGGGGCCACACTCAGGGGCTCAGAATATGCCTTGAAGTCACTGAGGGGTGTGGAGAACACATGCAATTTTGCACCTGACAGGCCCCAAGGCCATAGGGACAAACAGACAGGAACTCCTGGGAAGCCCAGGAGGGAATCCTGGAGTCGGGGGAAGGATATGAGCGGGGGAGGAGTCTTCACAGAGCACAGGGATTCAGGTCCGGTGTCACCCCCAGACTTGGAAAGGGGCTGGGCCACAGCACCGTTGGTCCCAATTGTGACAAGGAAATTGGGTTTCTGCCCCTTAACGTGGTTTGTTTTGCAGGAAAGAAGAGCAGCAGAGGAAGCTACTCCAGAGATTTCCCAGGAAACCCCAAGGGTGGCGGCAGCAGTACTGGAAGGAGGGGACAGAATCCTGCCACTACCTGAGGGTCAGTCTCCTGGTTCGCGCTCTTTCTTCTTCTGGGGTAACACAATTGGCCTCAATCCCCTTCTGTGGGAGGGAGCGGGTCCCCTTCTTTTCCAACCAATGTGATCACTTAGAGTACTTTTCAGATGCCATTTTCCTCGGTTTCTTTGATTTTGCATTCTTACTTGCGGGCTGGCAAGAATATGCTGTTTGGTAAATGGAAGTGACTTTATCAGCAGCATTCCGTAAGCAGAATCCTTTAAGTTAGAACACGAATCTGTAAATTGTGATTCATCCTCCCAAACTGGCCATCAAAACTTATTATGCCATCAAAGTGCCCGCAAAACACCAAGCTGTGCGCAGCCCTCGGAAGGGGGTACACAAGAAGCTTGTTCCCACTTACTTAACAAGAGACATTGTTAAATTCCTTGTATTTGCCTATCTGATGTAGAAATGTCTCAAGGTGATATTGTAACTTTCTTTTTCATGAGCACCACTGAGGTTGAGTATCTCATCACATACAATTAATTCCTATGAGATGGTTTTTGGTTAATTTTCATTTTTCCTGGATGGAGAGAAGATGCTCATGTCTGGCCTTTCTGTTTGGTCTTCTCCTACAGCATCCAAACATGCCCACGCTCACCCAGGCATCCACGAGGAAACCCCTCTGGGATCCAGATCTCCCCAGTAGGTCCCCTGTCAGGAAAGATGACAGGAAATGCACCCACCCTGCAGTGTCTCTCATCAGCAGAAGTTTGGTCCAGGACTCCAAAAGCAGCATCAAGGCCCCAGGCAAGAGGTCTGCCCAGATCCCCATCCAGACATGTCTGAACCCCCCAAAGAAACCTAGACTCAGCCCCATCCAGACTCCCCAGAAGAGCACTCTGACAGCAGATCTGGGGGCTTCCCAGAATCTCCCTCCTCCACCCAGTACAACCGGACCCACAGGGACCCCCCAAGTCAGCAGGAAGACACCTGCCCAGGGGCAAAGCCTTGCCCTCAAACCTCCACTGGACAGATCTCGCCCCAATAGTGTCCAAGCCTGCACCAGACACCATCCTCCACCCATCAGCCATGTTCCAGGCCAGCCTCTCAGGATACTCTTTGTGAGAGTAGACGAAGGCCGGTGGAGCTGCAGGTACGTGGCGCCTCCCTCCTTGCCTCGTCCTGAGCAGTCAGCCCCTCCTCCCACTGGCAGGAAGCCTGAGGGACACTGGGCCCCTGGCCCCCGGAGTGTCCTCTACGATGACCTTCAGGTGTCTTCTTTCTCTGAAGACAGCGACTGGGAGGGACATGCCAATGGCAGCTAAGGCTTGTCCTCCAGCCCCAGGTGCCCTGGAGATGACTGTGCACCTGACGAGGGGGAGTCACGAAGAGCAGCTGCTCCTGGAGAAGCAGCGATTCCGCACCCCTGCTGGGCAAACGGTGCTGGAAACCCAGACAAGCCCCAGCGACGCACACGTGCACGCAACTGCATCTTCTCCTGATGGTACTACAGCCATCTGTCAAATGGTGCTTATCACGCTGGAATGACAAGTTGTTTGTCAGTCTGAATCTATTTTAAGTACCTGAGGCAAATTCCAGGAGTAACTTTTAACTACTGTGTAAATAGGAAGCTATGGTAGTAATCTGCATTGGGTGCAAATGTCTGAACTTTTGGAACCTGGCTAAAGGGCCCAATGCTGTGCTTTGCAGAAGGTCAACAGTGCCCTGTCCTGAGATGAGACTCGTGGATTCTGTGGAGTCTTTCACTGTAAATCATGGTGGGGACACTCCCATGGCTCTGCTTCTTATGTTTCATTAAACGTTAGTGTAAAGCTTTGTTTTCAAATTTTCTTTCAATTTTAATAAAGTTCTACCATATAAGACATGTTGTACATGGTTTTTATCTCTAAGCCTTGAAGATCATCTTAACATTTATTTTTACTCAAGACAGATTTTGTGGAGACTTCCCTGGTAGGCCAGTGGTTAAGACTCCCTGCTTCCAATGCACGGGGCGCGGGTTTGAGCCCTGGTCAGGGAAGTAAGATCCCACATGCCGTGCGGCCAAAAAACAACAACAAAAAAGAAAAAGTAAGATGGATTTTGTAACTGAGGGGAAAGGGGATCTTGGGAGGACCTAAGGCTTAAAAATACAGGATCTCCGGCCCTCCCAGATCCACGGGTCTACATATGCACATTAACAATGCACCGTGTCAGTCCCCTGCATGCACGATGTGATAACGTGTAGGCTGCCTTATTCTCACACTGGGCCACACTGGACTCGGTGAATCTTAATAGGTGTATAAGCCTGAATCCTACTTCAAAAGGTACGAGTTCATGTTGTCTGTTTTGAGGCCCGGGCATTGGGATTACAGCTGCTCTGGAGGTGATTATATCATCTGGTTTGAGAACCACTGGAGGTGGTGGCAGTGATATCACCTATGTCACATGCTGCCTCTGTTCTCTAACAGGAAGAGACCTGAGCAGGTCCAAGAAAATTCACCGAGCTGTGTAGAGAGGGCTTCCCGGGAAGAGCAAACCATGTTCCACACAGAACAACTGTTTGGGGAGAGCATCTTCACTCCGCAGAAGCCTGTACGTCAAGGGCAGCTGCTGGCTGAAGGTACAAGGTTGTTAAAATATTGGGAAAGCAGAGCCGGCACACTCGGGGCCGTGCCCACACCTACGGGAACTTCTGGAATGACCTTTCTCTTTGTGACCCGGGTCTGAGCGTGTTCCTTACAATCCCTTATCTCATGACCTCAGTCCTGTCCCAGCACTTCCTTACAGATTCTCACAAAAAAACCCACCATTGATCCTTACTTCTGGCATTTCAAAGGGTCTGAATAGGCCCTGACACATGTTCTATTTTATGGAATCCTCTGAACATCACAGGATTAAAGAAGAGGAGTCTGTCATCGTAGCCATCTGGGATTGGAATTGTTAGGGATGGGCTCGGTTTTCTTGGACCTGCAAATACAGGGGACAGGGTTTCAGGACACAGGATGGGTTTAGTGAGACAGCATTGATCTGGGGCTCAATAGAAACACGTGCTGTCACTTTTGAGATGGTGGCGTACCTTCCATCTACCCAGGTGATGGCACACAGCTCATTATCCATACTCGACCCAAAACATTCAGAGTAAGTAAGTATGTCCACACCACCGGACTTCTTTTGACAACCTGCCAAGTATGTGCAACACCGAATCCCCTAGAAAAATTGGCGCTGATAAATACCATTCCCATCTCTGACTAATGCACTCCAAGTTCAATAATGGAAAGTCATTCAACTGATTCATAAGAATTCCATAGTGCAAAAATTCAGACATCCTGCACCCCGTCAACAAATGAGTCTTCAAACGCAGAACAAGTGGAAAGTCCTCAGACCCAGTAATCAACCCCACCTGCTCCAGTAACTTCACGGCGCACACCACACTCCTGAGGAGGAGGCACAAGTTGCCACTGAATATCGTGTCCTGTGCACACTGCAGACACGCAGTCCTTTCACGAGACTAGATTATTCACACCTGCAACACGATTTCCTATACACGACTGGGTGTGTGTGTGTGTGACTGTGGGTGTTGGGCGTGTGTGTTTGCAGATGTGCAGCAGAGCTTATCGTAGTGCATCCAGAGACCTCGGCTTCTTCTTGTTCTTCTTCTTGGAAGTCCTTCCCTCTGAGACAAGGGATGTGGCCGATGTTCACTGGTCCCTGAGGCGGGGTGCCTCTGGCTGGATTGTTGAGCAGGCAGTTTTCCTGTTCAGGAAGTTTCATTTTCATCCCCTCTCCATATTTCGACGGGTGAATCACGACAGCATGGGCAGGCAGGGGAGACTCGATCTTCCTGAGGTTGGATTCAGGCTGAGGTCGGTTGTGTTCTCGGCGGCATCTCCACTGCTCTAAGGTGATTTCTTGAACATCTGTTTCCTCCAGGTGCTTCCAGGAACTCTGACGCTGGCATCTCTTCCAGGTTCCCCGTGGGCTGCATCCATGCCTGCGGGGTCAGCCCCAGGGATGTCGGTGCCCCTCCCGGTGACGGTCCCCCACCGTCTCCTTCCAATGAGCTCTTCTGGACGTAAAAGAGGACATAGGCACTTTGGCTCAGGGCAGAAGCCACGTCACAGGCAGTGACCTTGGCATCGTCCATTTATACCACTGGCCGTTCCCAGCTTTGACGTAACGGAAGTAGGGTTGTCGGTGACAACTGCCCCCGGAGGGCACCAGTACCACACAGAACACATAATCCAGTGGTCCTGCCTTCTGCTCCGACATGTATGGTTGCAAGTTGAAGCACCCGGGATACAGAACTTTCTTATCCACTTTGTCACCTGTGAAATCCGAAGAACTGCTTCAGCACAAGGATCAGGACCTTGGCGTGCTGTGCAAAGTCAACCTCTTGGTGGCGGGCACCTTCTTGAGACAAACACTACAATGATGGGCATCTTCCCCGTCCAGCTTTTTGGGCTTCTCCAACTCTCTCAAAGCGTGGTTCACACTCTGAGCTGCCATGATATCCAGGCTGCTGTCCAGATAAGGGTCAGAAGGGTCTATTTGTAGACGACCTAAAATATGTTTACTTGTCAGCATCATGCATAAATATGCTGAGAGAGGAAAACAGCGCTCGGGTAATGAGGATACATTTTGCTTAGCCCCTCCAAAAGAAATAAAAGGAAGACCGCGGGAATAAGTGGTGTGTGTGTGTGTGTGTGTGTGTGTGTGTGTGTGTGTATTTATAAGTACCTTTAGGCATGCACATTTTCAAAGTACTAATATTCTTAATGTATTATGGTTTGTACTTAACAAAAAGATTTCTGCCATTTGGGACACTTCTTAAATGAAAAGCAAACTTTTGATCACTTTCTTAATTCCCTGAATATCCTTGGCAATCTTTCCCAACAGATTCCCTTGATGGTTTAGAATTCAGAAGGAAGTCGTTCATGAATGTATCCACCTTGCAATGGAGTGAATTAACAGTGAATTAATAGTGTCATTTACCTGAATTAACAGTGAATTAACAGTGTCATTTACATTAAGTTTTCCACTATGTGGAGGAAAATTTTCTGTACAACGCTCACACTTTACGTAGACAGAACTCCCTTCTCAAATGCCAGTATTTACGGAGGGCCAAAAAATACTGAACAAAAAGATTATCATCCTGTGGTTTTGTTTCTACACTTTTGCTCCTCCTCTGTTTTAACTCATCAATATAATGATCACGAGGGTAATTAGAAATACATTAGTCTGCCTATGTTGGTCACTTAAACTGTGACAATGTAAATCCTTGTCAATCACTTGGGGGAATCTGTTTCCTAATCTCCATTTCCTTAAGTTGATTATTATTATTATTAACAGCCATCACAGCATTCATATCATTCGCATCATCACCACGATCATCATTATTTTTATTATTACACTGCTTATTACAGAGCTCTTTTGCATATACTGCTCTATTCAAAAGTGTTTTGGATTTGCTGAAGATGACTCCTGAGGGTTCTCCCCACAGACACACACACAGCAGCCCTTTGACAACAGCTTTACTGCCGGCACCTGTTGGCTGGACGAGGCTCATGAAATCCTGCACGTTCCCCTCAGGGAACAGTAAGCGGCCCAGGCTGGAAGGGGAGCTTCGAAGAGCATGTCCATGGGCCACCTGAGCCTACAGGACAACTGATGAGTTCTCTTGAGGGCCCAGAAACAGCTGTGTCTCCCAGGAAGTCAGAGAGGGTATGCTTGCCCACCATAGCCGCATTGTCAAGGTTACTCTGGGGGCCCAGGAACCACTCTTGCCCTCCTTGAGAGGCTGGAGGTGGCATCCCTGCCCCCAGCATCTTCAGAATTTTCTTCTCAGATCAGGAACACAGGAACCACCATAGCTGGAAACGGAGGTGCACAGAGGTCATCTTATCCCCCCCGAGCCTCTAGAATGTTCTCAGTTCCCACGGGTGCCCAGGAAAGGCCGACGCCAACACTGAAGGCATGGAGAATGTGGTTCGCTCGCCCAAGCAACTGCAGAAAGTTTTCAGTCCACCTGGCAACTGGGAAACTGGTGCTGCCGGTCCCTTTTGCCCTTGCTGGCCAGGAAGCACACAGATGATGACCTTGGACAGTGTAGGTGCAAATGGAGGGGCCTGGACTTCAAGGTGCCCAGAATGAGAAGGACCGACAGCAGGCGAGGTCTGGGCAGTGCTGGGGGCTTCATGTCTGATGTCTGAACGCTGACTGTGGATGTGCATTCTTGTCTTCTTTGCCTGGAGAAGCTGAAAAAAGTTCTAGAGACGAATGGTGGTGATGGTTGCACAACAATGTAAAGGTACTTGATGTCTCTGAACTGTATGACCATAAATGACTAAAATGGTAAGTTTATGTACATTTTACCATGATGAAAAATCATAACTCCAAAGAGATGGACAGTAGAACACACATTGCCTTAAGGGGATGAGGAGATACAGATGGCATAGTACGGAGAAGAAAGTGTAATCTGCAGTTTTCGGATGGAAGGTCCTGTAAATATCAATTAAGTCTATCTGGTCTGTTGTGTCATTTAAAGCTTGTGCTTCCTTATTAGTTTTCTGTCTGGATGATCTGTCCATTGGTATGAGTGGGGTGTTAAAGTTCCCCACCATTATTGTGTTACTGTCGATTTCCTCTTTTATAGCTGTTAGCAGTCTTCTAGGATTGATCCCTTGATCATTATGTAGTGTCCTTCCTTGTCTCTTGCAATAGTCCTTATTTTAAAGTCTACTTTATCTGATATGAGTGTTGAACCTCCAGCTTTCTTCTGATTTCCATTTGCATGGAATGTCTTTTTCCATCCCCTCACTTTCAGTCTGTATGTGTCCCTAGATCTGAAGTGGGTCTCTTGTACACAGCATATACATGGGTCTTGTTTTTGTATCTGTTCAGTGAGCCTGTGACTTTTGGCTGGAGCATTTAATCCATTCATGTTTAAGGTAACTATTGGTACATATGTTCCTATGACCATTTTCTTAATTGTTTTGGGTTTGTTTTTGTGGGCCCTTTTCTCCTCTTGTGTTTCCCACTTAGAGAAGGTCCTTTAGCATCAGCTGTAGAGCTGGTTTGGTGATGCTGAATTCTCTTAGCTTTTGCTTGTCTGTAAAGCTTTTGATTTCTCCGTCAATTCTGAATGAGATCCTTGCAGGGTAAAGAAATCTTGGTTGTAGGTTCCTCCCTTTCATCACTTTAAGTATATCATGCCACTCCCTTCTGGACTGTAGAGTTTCTGCTGAGAAATCAGCTGTTAACCTTATGGGAGTTCCCTTGTATGTTATCTGTCGTTTTTCCCTTGTTGCTTTTAATAATTTTTCTTTGTCTTTAATTTCTGTCAGTTTGATTACTATGTGTCTCAGTGTGTTTCTCCTTGGGTTTATCCTGCCTGAGACTCTCTGTGCTTCCTGGACTTGGGTGGCTATTTCCCTTCCCATGTTAGGGAATTTTTCGACTATAATTTTGTCAAATATTTTCTCAGGTCCTTTCTCTCTTTCTTCTCCTTCTGGGACCCCTATAATGCGAATGTTGGTGTGTTTAATGTTGTCCCAGAAGTCTCTTAGGCTGTCTTCATTTCTTTTCATTCTTTTTTCTTTATTCTGTTCCGTGGCAGTGAAT